TGCTGGACGAGACGGACCCATCAGTGTATATTTATTTATTTTATTTCATCATACTGCGGGCCGAGTGCCGGTCCAAAGCAGAAGGGGCATACATATCACCGACATCAACGTGAACAAGCGTATCCAGAATTTACACACTAAAAAAAAAGGTTGAATAGACAGACGAACAATTGCATGTGCAAGCGGCACTACAATAACACGTTCATAGGTAAGGTTACAAAGTGGACGCAAATGAAAAGGCGCATAAAACAACCAACACATCAGACAAAAAAAAAACACTGGAATCATATATTCACTAACAAATATTCCTCTAGACAGTGATGAAAATCGTGTGCTTGAACGACGAACTCTGGTAGACTATTCCATTCCGATATAGTTCTCGGAAAAAAACTATTATAAAAAGCAACAGTACGAGCAACTATAGGCTTCAATGCATGGGTTGACGTGTGACGCGTTCTTCTTGATGTCAACTGCCCTAGAAATGACGGTGGCGTTATATTCATCCTTTTGCACAGAATGCTCTACAGGAAAAATAAACGGGCTATCTTCCTACGTGTTTCCAGGGGCGTAATCTGATTATTCTGCATTAGCTCTGAGATAGCCTCGTGTCTCCTATACTTTCCAAAAATAAAGCGAACTGCTTTCCTTTGAATTCTCTCGAGCTGGTGAATGTCTTTTTTTGTATATGGGTCCCAAAGCGCACATGCGTATTCCAGTTTTGGCCTTACTAACGCTAAATACGCCAAAAGCTTGATATTAGAAGGCGTGTCCTTAATTTTGCGTCTAAGAACGCATAGTTTACGAAACGCCGAGGAGCTAATATCGGTTATATGAGCCGTCCACGTTAAATCGTTGGTCAGTGTGACGCCTAAATACCGGTATTGCGTAACAAGTGCACAGGTGTTTCTCCCTTCTGAACCTGTTGAAATGTGACCATCAAAGCTATGATTGAATCTGCTACACCAAATTCAACAGAATAAAAAGCCACAGCCACTAAGATACTGAGACAGCTAAGCCCTACCACTAATCGGTCTGTCTGCATGTTAGCAAAACAAAATTTTTTTATGAAAAGTGGTTATGTGATGCATTGTCAATTTGAAAAGCACAAATAACTATGGTGTGAAAAAAATGCCTGTGACATACACAGCAGTGACAAGAGAGTGCCCTTAAAAACTGCCATACAAATAGCAGGACTCTGCCGACGCACAGTGTCGAGACTCTGGCACATTCAGGCAGATACTCAAATTCCCAACAAAGCACACGATCGCGAACTCACGCAACTTCTTTTGTGTTGCTCAGCAATGAGAAGATGCAGAAAACTTACGAGTGTCAGGTGCAGTGATAACCGTGCTCAGCTGCAGCATGTGATCTGCCGAGAGACCAGCTTCTTTGGCAAGTGCCCGCAGTTTGCGAATGTGCTCCATCGTTTGCCCCGAACTCTCAAGCTTCCCATTTCCTACAATGTCAGATGACAGTATGTTTTAGCTAAATTTTTACAAACTCTTTACATCTCAAATCAGAAGTCACAAGTCATAGATACAATGCGTTGCTGTAATATGCCTTAAAAATTAAAAGAGGGTCTTCAGATATGAAGTCAAGTGTTACTGCATCAATGAAAAACCAATTTAGCAAGTTTTATCTAGAACAAAGGCTTGAAAGCTCTCTCCTCCACAAGTACCAAAAAAACAAATGACAACATATAATACATCACTATAGTACTTTGAAATTCTTGCAGTAGCATGCTACGACACATGCAAAATGACTACGTCTGCTTCCGGATATTCAATGAATAATCGATAAATAAAAATAGCAATGCTTGCAAATAAAGCCTGCAAGGAAAGGCCTGGCAAAACAATACGAACTATGTTCCAGCACACAAATGGCAGCAACACGCAAAAGCACAACGCACAAATTCTGACTAGTTGTCAAAATTATCAGTGCGAGATATCACAGTTGTGAACGTGAAAGTAAGCCAATAGATTTAAAGAACCCAAAAACTAGACGTGTTGCTGTCAATAACTAGAAGGAAGTAAGAATGAAACGCACGCTTGGTGAATACCATGCCACGTGCACCAGCCCGCGCAATAAACAAGCCACTCAATCTTGTAAGAAAGGCGGTAAAAAGAGCCATCTCTTGTCCAGATATCTGTCATGGAATTGAATATCTATTGTCAACAAATGACAGTTCGACGTCACGGGGCGATCAACAGAGTATTAGATCGAAGCTAAGATCCCTTGCCAAAAAGGGTAGGTTCCACGTCGTGGCACGGCCACGGAAAGTACTTGAGCACGCGTTTCAACATTCGACGCTTGCGCCGGACCTCGTTAACCCAAACCGCGTACGAAGCGTACTTTGCGGGAAGTACCGGGGCCAGGATAAACATCAGTACGTATTCAATAAACGCCCATCATTCACTAAATGACGAGCACCGTTTCTAACGTAATAATTAAGCTGGCAGGGACGCCACTCGATCGCTCACCAAGTCTCACAGCTTCTTGTATCCCTCAGCACGAAACACTCTTCTAGATTCCATGGTTCGGGCTCCACTTACCAGACACGAGGAAACGTACAGCTTTCTCAGCTCGAGATGTCATTGTCCACGATTGCTGCTTGAAAACTTGCGCATAGAACAAACTAGGCAATGAAAACAAACCGCTTGACGCTCGCGCTTAGAGTTTTGAACATACAAAACTACTGTGCAAACACGCGTTTGATGACGATGTTGATGGGAAATTGGCATTATCCAACGCCGTTGCTTTATCAGCCATATTTACCAACAACGTTTTTACCACAAAAGTAAAGATATGCGTAAAGCTCTCACAATGCAGAAAATTTTTAAATACGTTAAATATTGTTAAAATAGGTTGTGCTTGAACGCAGTGTTTGCATGGTTTTAACCAGTAAAGTTGATTGTTTTAGACCGCGCAAATTTTGAAAACTTACGGGTGCATGCGGAATACTGAAATTGAAGAAATATGAGACTAAATGCTCCATTCTGCTTTATTCATGCCTGACCATTATACTAATACTTAGTTCTAAAAGTGGTTAGCTAATTTTGCTCCATGTCATCCCCCTGCGGAAAGATCTATGCCGCTATGTTCGACGCTTCGAGAATCATTCCGTTATCAAACGGATGTAAATGGTTCCCGCACTCCGCACTTTGAAGTATCAATCACCCTCTGACAAGCAAGAAACGTATTGTGTTGTACCTACAGCATTTAAGAAGGAGAATGAAATGTGAGGAAAATGCACCGAGGTTAAGAGGTAATGTGCGGGAATAAAATAGCCATACTCGGTATCTGCGCAATAGAAGCTAACAAAATAATTTTTTTCCCGAGACACTGGTGAACACTGGCTCGCATTTGCTGTAGAAAGCGCCTCCGAAACCGCTTAAATGTTGGTCAGCGCCTCTAGTACCTATGACGGCGAGTGTGGAACACTCTTTCTGCCTGTTGCCGTCACGTAGCACGTAATCTTACAGCGATCTAGTAGCTGACCAATATTATTAGGATCGAAGATCGAAGATTCGCTTTCTGCTAGCGGCAAGTTATCTTGTCGTCCATTTTTTTTTTCATTACATTACAATTACTACTTTCTGACTTTCTGACTTCAGGCAGTAAACTTTCTGATTTCTGATTGGTAGCAAACTTTCTGACTTCAGGTAGTACGCGATGAATGATTGTCAGCTGCCAGCTCATAATAATATCACATGATACGTAACGCCTACAACAAGAGATCTCTGCACTCACCCTATCACTACTCATTATTGTTTTCTTCTTTTTTACCATATTTGTGAAACAAGAACGTTACAATGTCGGCTGGCTATGATATTCTACTTCATTCATTTTCGCAATGTTTATCACGGAAAAACTGATGATCTTTATTTGAATTACCATCTATGTGGTTACCATTTCTTGCAACTTGTAATCTCTTGACTGCATACCCGCTTCACTTCGTAACTCTATGTTTGTCTATTTGATATTTTATTGGATTTAGATTTTATATCTTTTCCGTAAGACATCTTCACTTCGCCAATTCTCGGCCCATGATGATGACGATGATGATGCCCTTAGGATCAATGATTTGCACGTTGGACGAAGAAGAAGAAGAGAGTCACGCGAAAGGTTCAGGTCGCTTCACTCGAGCCCGGCGAATTCAGGCAATCTCTTCTACAGAGGTAAGTGACATGAATAATCGTATGTATAGCGAGATGTATGACTTGCTCTCTATATTTCGTGCCGACTGGTTGTGCCCCCGCGATCTCCGACGACAGCGCAGCTCTGGCCGACTGGGCTCCCCCTACGCAATCTCCTGTCACCGACATGAGCTCTCGCCGAGTGGTGCCCCGTCCTCGGACTCCTGCGACCGTGTCCATCTTTCCTATCTCCTTTTTACTTCCGTTGCTCGCTGTCCCTGCGCCTCACTCTCTCCTTCCTTTCTCCATATATAACTTTTAATCTTATCCTTTTAATCCCTCCTCACCCCCATCCCTTGTGAGCTACTGTTGAGTTCTCACACTCTGATGCAGACAGGTACGGGGCTCATTTTTCTCTTCTTTTCTCTTTAAGAATCACATAAGTAATATTCGATTTAAACGTTAAACACAATTAGGGTTCCCAAGCAGTTAGTGTTCCCGAAGGCCACGCCTTTCTCTGCCGTTAACCATGTGTCATGAGCCACCGCAGATTTATATAATGATGTTCTAACTGTTGCTTCGCGAAATACATTTAAATGCCTTAAATTGAAATCACTTCGTCTGTATTGCTTCTGCCGCAGACATATACTTCTGAAGATGACTCCAGTATCTCCTTAGACAGTCGATAAACATTAAGCTAATCATATTTTAAAGCAAACAAGATATACTTGAAGCAGCCATGCGAGGATAAAGTAACCGTTTCCAGTTCATAACTGCCCCTTGTTTCCTGATAATGCTAGCTGACTAAACGCGTGGCATCAATTGGCCGCCGTTCGATGCAGTGTGATACCTTAGGTCGTCCCTATGGCTGATAAGCTGGAGACGAAGAAGAGCGGTGATGCGAAAGAGTGGCGCGAGTCTCCACGCACCCGCCAAGAGCGGTCTACCTCGCTGACTGACGTGCATGGGCATCCGGAATTGGCGAGGCGTCTTGATGTCCCAGTGGCGAAGGATGCCTCTCCGGCCAAGGACCGTCGACTCTCCTTGCGAGGTGTCGGCGGAGAGGTTCGTGAACAGCCGGATAACACCGACCAGAAACCGGTGAGACGAGGACCGCACTCTTTCAGCCCATCACAATATTTTTGTGGCGGTGGTTTAGTCTGGCTTCCATCGAAGGAACCTTATTTTATGAAAGTGAGAAGTGTCACCAGGAAACTCTGCATCAACTTGTGGCAGACAGAAAGTCGTAACCGGAATTACCTTATTGCTAATAGGTGGAGCACAAGAATTCATCAGCAACCCTTCGACGGAGCCTGGGTATGACTATACTACAGGGTGTAAGGGACAGTCCATGCGAAAAATCACCGCTGGCACCAGTTTCGACGTTGGTGTGCTGGTTTGCCAAAAGTGAAATTGCGGGAAGACCTTGTTACGCGTCACGTGTAGCGTGTGGGTGAATGGGGGGAAACATTGCAAAGGAGCACGCCATCTTAATTGGCGAGCGCTTACAGGCGGACTGTCAGACAGTGAATGGTTCCGGGGTGATATTATTAGTTGTTTGGAAAGCACCCTCCTGGAACAGCAGTTGGACTAAGGCATTCTGTAGTGCCATCCTTCATTTCTTTCCAGAATCACTTTCTTTAGCCATGGCGTAGCCAAATATTTTTTTTCTCTTTCTTATATTTGTGCGTGCATGTTCGTGCGTGCATGTTTACGCCTGCCTAAAAGTGCAAAATTCAGGTAGAGGAGCTTGAGCCCCCACCCCTCCTATGACTACGCTGATGTTCTCTGCTTTTTATAGTAATGAATCCTGGGACGGCCAGAGAACATCGGCGTATAGTCATGGGAGGTATGCGCGCTTAAGCTCCTCTATCGAAATTCAGAATTTTCAGGCAGGCACGAAAATGCCCGCTCGCACATACTCTCAGCCGTTTAACCTTACCGCCGCTAATAACGAAATCCCCGCGAAGGAGCGAACTACTTTGGTCATAGCTGCAGACTCGCACCTATCCCGCTCCTCACCTTCTTGACCTCATGTACCCCTCTCTTTACCCGTCCTCTTCCAGTAAGCATTGTTCCGCAAGGAAAGCAAATCTTAATCATATCAGGGTACCTCCCTTGTTTCTTTGACAAGTACTAAGTAATGAGAAGCTGCCTTGTGCAGCTTGAAACTCGACGTTTCTGTCTCCCTAGTCTGTCTTCCCGCCCATGGAGCTCCCCAAGCATTACTTAGCGCGGCAACAGTTGTAAAAGCCCCGCGCGCACCCATTGCAAGATTTTTATAAGCACTGTCGGTTCAAAAGACGCCGCCTAACCCATAGAGTTTCTTAATATACACTAGAGGGAACTCTGGCGCTAGTGTCTATGGGAGCTGCAACGCACGGCGCTTCAGCGAGCATAGGAATGATGTGTAGTACACACATATCTAAACTTCGTACTTCTGGCCTGATTTTGGCTCCGTGTGTGTTCGTGTGGCTTGGAGCTGTTTTCTCACGAAACAAAAATCAGCAAATGTTCTGCGATTGTGCTTCACCACTTCATTATTTTAGACTTACCTTTCAAAATTGGGTCACGAAGTCCAAAAAAGTTAAATCTTTATTTTAAAACAAAACCGAAACACAGCACTAAACGAAGCCGCAAGTACGATTCGCCGCCCGCAAGTACGAAGACTAGGCAAATGTGTGTACTACCCATCATTCCCATGGTCGCTGAACGATCGCAGCGCCAGAGTGCCCTCTAGTTAGTTTTAGGAAACTCTATGGCCTAACCTAATCTCACTGCATTGAGTTCGCTGCTTTCGACGACGTAGTCGGATTGCCATCTGCCTAATGTTTCTGTCTTAAATAGGTTAGAGCCATCGCGAAGCATTTGCTGACATCAGTTTGCTCTGTTGATCGTGCCAGCTTTAGGAAATCTTGTCTTTGCACTCATCGAGAGAAATTCGTAGATGCTTGCTTATTCTTACATGACACCATGCTCGCTAGTTAATTTGTTATACGAATGTTTGCAATAATGTGCATTCACTGGCGATAAAATTAGAAATTTTACTTTGTATCTATAGCACGCAAGCTGAATTTTTTTTGGGGGGGGGGATGGATGGGCTATTTGAAATGGTCTTTTTTTGCTCTCAAAGCGGAAGCACGGGCCTGTGTGCCACTCCCGTCGCTACGCCACTGCTTTGCATCGCTTTTTATTTCCCCGTCACAGAGACTTTTCGTAGAGGTGCCAAGTGCACGAATCACCTTGTGCTTGCATTTCTATTGATATATGCTCATGAAAAGACCTAAAAACTATATCATAGATCTAGAACATGAATCCCCATAAATTATAATTGTAGCCTGTAATACATTACTGTCGCTTATAAACAACGTGGCTTGTACATCTTTGTATCAAGCAACTATGCTGCTATTGCAAACGTCATTTAGCACTGGATTCACATGAAATCTGTAAGCTCAGAAATTTGTATCGTCCTCCTGTCATTGAATTGTGCTTACCATTTGGCGTGGATATAGAACTAGAACATGGCGTATATCTATACCTCCATATCCGCCAACCCAAGACGCTCTGAAAAATGAATTTACGTTCATATTTATGCTCGCACGAAAAAACAAACGAAAAGAAGCCGACTTGGTGCTTCTTAGTGCTTAATATGTGGCTTTGTTTCATTCACACGACACAGTGAGCGATATATCTCATTACTTCTTCGCTCACAGGAACCCGGCCCCGAGAAAGAGGACAAGCACGCGCTTCGTCGCACCGCGGCCACAACGTCTCTGCAGCGGTCGCCACAGCGCAGTCCGGGCAAGACGTGTCTCTTGGCCAACTCCACCGTGCTCCTGGTAGCCGCCATTTCAGTCGCGCTCCTCATCGGCGTGCTTGCTTGGCACAAGAGTCGGAGCAGATACGCCCAGTACCCCCTTCCGCCCGATCCCCGTGGCCCGTTGCGAGTGAGGCGCTGCCGCAACGAAGCTTGCCGCCGAATCGGAGCGCTGCTCAATGACGCCCTGGATGATAACGTGCAACCCTGCGAAGACTTCCACGCGTACGTGTGTGGGTCCTGGTCGCACAAGTATCCGGGCAAGACCATCGCGGAAGTACTCGCTTCGGCATTCCTGGGGCACGTCACCCGAAGCGCCAGAAAGAACGTCGTCATTTCGTCGAAGCGTACTGCCAGCAACCAGACAGCAGTTCAGAAGGCTGCGACGCATCTAGTCGCGTGCGACAACATTGTCGCGCTCTCGGACGACCAGACTTCCAACGTCAAGCACGTTCTGGCTGAAGGTGGCATAGCTTTAGGGTCTGCAGCAGAGAACGCATCTACGCCTGACGTGTTGAAGGCCATGTTTTACATGTCACAAGTCGTTCACATTCCCGTGCTTCTGGACGTGTCGGTGGAATACGACGTAGAACAACGAGTGTCAATACAGAAGCCAGAAAACACGGCAACACTTCTGGAAGAGTCGAAGCGTCATTTGAATGGCACAGCTTCCGCTAAACACGACAGATACGTTCGCGCCATTTACGAGAGTTTTTCCGAAAGTGATAACACCTCAGAGTACGAAGAACTATTCAGGAACATATCCCGCTTAGTGTCAACTTTGGTGACCTCCCTGAGCTCTTCTCTCGTCGACAGCGAAAAAGGCAAAGACGGTGTCTGGTTCTCTACTACAGCTTCCGTACACCAAATTTCGCGAGCCATCTCGAAAGACCGTTGGCTCAAGGCGTTCGAAGTTTTCATGAGCATACCAGAGGAACGCAATATGCCGGTCGCTGTGTACACCGGCTCTTACTTCCAGGCCCTCTTCACTCTCGAAGAGAAGCTCGGGGAGGCCGATTTTGCGCAGCTTTATTCCTGGCTCTGTATACAAGCGCTCGTCCCATTCACAAGTGGACGCATCATATCGGCGCAACAAGCAGCTCCTCGAAGCACTGTTCTGCATAGGCACAGGTGGCAGTGCTTCCGCAACGCCGAACGAGTCTTCCACTACGCCCTTGAGTACCCGTACATGGCCTCCGTAGTCGACGACAATGTCTCGAGGGATGTCGTGGCTCTGATGCGGAGAATCAGCCGGTCGTTCAGCAAGGTCGTTCTGCGAACGCCGGTACGGAACAGTAATTGCACCTTCAACAGCGACGAGGTCATGGCGGGAGTGCACGCGGAGTTGTTCAGTCGCCCCAAGCCTGACTACTTTGAAGGCTATTACGCCGATTTTCCCGACATGACGCTGAATTCGTTGACCAACTGGATGCTAACGGTCGAATTTGGTGGCCACCGCACAGCAACGAGCAGCGTCACGCCGGGTAGCAGCGGAGACGTCGTGGACGTCGACTATGCCCGCGCCTGGAGCAGACCTCTGGAAGCGAGCTACCTGGACGAACCGTGGTACTCGCTGGGCGTGCCCCCGGCTGTCAAGATTGCCGGCCTAGGTTCCCGCCTTGTGTCGAGGTTAATTACGGAGCTCGTCTCCAAAAGACGTGCCTGCGACAAGACGCTCCTCGCGGACGTCGAAGGTACGATCGACTGCCTGGCGGCGACATACGAAAGCCCGATTCGAAGTTTCAGCGCGATTGAGGGTGATGTTCGGGCTGCGGTGATTTCCTGGGCTGTGCTATGGACTGTTCTGGGAGCCCACGTGGACTCGAAGGCAAACGTCACCGTGCTCGAAGATTTCCCCCGCCTCTCCCAGCCGGTGCTTTTCTTCGTCCTAGGATGTCTTTTGACGTGCGGGGAAGACTGGGAAACGGCGGAGGCGAGATGCAATTTGCCTCTCAGACACGATACCAATTTCGCGGCACCCTTTTCTTGTTTTGAGGGATCGCCAATGCGTCCCAAAATTCAGTGCCCTCGTGATTTTGCCGGTGTGGGCACACTTTGAACAAATATGTATAAAGTCACGTTTCGGAACTGTTTTCAAGTGTACGTTCTTTTCAAGTTTCGCGCCCACAACATAACATTATAAAGAAATAGATTTTTTTATAATTGTAGCGTATCCTACAATATGTGCTTGCAAGACTTTGCCCGACCCTGCTTGCCTCTAAGCTAGGCATGCATTTCATAACTTGGCCGCGCTTCATACAAGCGAAAAAATTCAAGAGCTCTGAAGGTTGAACCCTGTGAAGGTTGATGACCAGCGAAGCTCCGCAGCGCACCTGCACAGATGTGGCACAACATTAAGATGAAACAGATACACAAATTTTAAATAGCACTTGAGAGGGTTGATTGATATGTGGGGTTTAACATCCCAAAACCACGATATGACTATGAGAGACGCCATAGTGGAGAGCTCCGGTAATTTTTACCACCTGGGGTTCCTTAACGTGCACCCAAATCAGAGCACACGCTTATATTATGGTCACAGTCACGTCAACAAATTGCTGAACTCGCCAGATATATCTGCCGGTTAATCCAAGTCTGGATAGCCAGAATCACTTTTTTTTTTAATGCGAACTATTTCTTAGTCGAATGCAGGTACTTTAGGCGTGTGTCCTATGTCTGGTCGCTCTCGTGATGGCCCTTCTTTAGGTTGGGGTACACCAAAATTATTATGGGATGGTAAAAGAGTTTGACGAATGTGTCTGTCGCCATGATCTAAATAAGTTGAAAATCGATAACCCCGAGGCATACGTGGTCAGAGACTTTCCTCCAGACACGCGTGACCCATTTACGTAAACCATGAGCCGTATTATGCAGGTATGATCCACAGGTGAATGACAGTTTATATATAGCCAGGAACAGCAAGAACAGGCATCAGTAATTTGATTGCGAGAGCGTTGAAAAAAGCGTTATTGGTAGCCTTGGGCCAGCGAATGCGAATAAATATCAGGGCCCCACAAGATATTTAACTCAATAATTCTGCGTGACAATCAAGTATTGTACCACAAAGCAGACTTGGAACTTGGAACTGCTTGGAAAACAGGTCATGTGCAGGCGTGACATTACAGAAACGTCCATTAATGGTCTAGTAGTGGTTATCTAATTTTATAAACATTACGTATGTACTCTCGTAACACAGGCATCACGTTGGGTTAACGTCATTTCTTTACTTGAGCACCATCTACTAAAATTTGTGTCCATATAGCACAAGATGGGCTGCCATCCTTGCATGCACAAGCGCTACATAAAAGCTTACAAGCTTCTAGTGTTGGTACTAATCATGTTGCTCTTGTCATCAATACGCAACTGTAAACTACTGGATAAAAAAAAACTCCAGGCCTGCGAGGAAGGCGCAGCACAGCCACAGCGAAATCTAAAAGAGCGGCCTTTCAGAGCCTTTTCTAAACACTCATTGGATAACTTCTGCAAGCACACTAGCTTAATAATAAAAAAAATTGTGTAGTAGGCTGACATTCGCTATGCTATCTTTCGACATTTTTCTGAGAAGCTTGGTATTTATTAAACTACTGCCAGGAATTTTGTTTCGGTTGTTCATGCAGTGGCTGACGACGATGAGGAATTATGCTTGAAGTGGGTATGCGCCACAGTTATTAGCTAAACAAAAACAAACTTTTGTGACGGGTTGGAGCATCGGACGACCAACTCGTTACGCTATTCGCATTGTGCGACGACTGCTTGTTCTTTCGCTGTTTTAAAACACTCTTATTGCTGTATTAAACAGCCGTATTATTAAACAGCCGTATATTAACGCAATTGCTTTCCTGACATCAAGCCTGCCTAAGGCAAGTTTGCCAACTGTCACGGACGGCTATTTTTGGCGACACCGCGTCACGGCAATTAACGGGCGCCGTACTCCCCTACTGACCATGAGAACGGCGGCACATGAAAGGGAGCCGAGAAGGGCGAAATGGGGTGCTCTTCTTAGAACGTCGCCGCCGACGGTTAATCCTTTTGTAACTGTGGCGGCGTCTGCAAGGTCGTAGAAGGCCGCGGTATACCCCGAACAAGGATTAGACTACAAGACGCACCAGCTGAGAGCCAAACGTTTGACCGTTCCCACGGGGAAAAGCGTGGGAAACGCTCTGGTGGCCAAGCCGTATGACAACAACCCGACAGGTTGTCACTCTCGCTAGTTGAGGGCCCTCTCCCAATTAAAAAGGGGTGGGGTCAAAATATTTTTGGGGCGGAGTTTCCCATCAATTAAACGCGCATGATTGGACCCAGGTAGAGGTCTCTTGTCCCCAAGGAAGAGAGCGAGGAGACACGAGGGGGATTTAGGCGCAGGATTTTGCCCTGCTAGGCAGACTAGTCGCTGACCAACATGGTGTAGAAACAGATCAACAAGCATCTCTTCTAGAAGTTTTTAGTGTGGCTCTGTATCGGCTGGCCACCTAAACTTAGCCGTTCGTCTAGTTGTGACGTGATATTAACGTCTGCAACGTAGACATCGGGACTTCGCCTCAAGTTAGCTCAACCTGCTCGAAGTCACCTGCAAGCACTAGCCCCCCGGAGCCACCAGCGTTGCAACACCGCTGACATCGCAGTCGTGCCAGAACTCTCTTCGACTTCTCGCATCCGATCGTCGGGGACACAACGCTGCCGGTCCTCACACGTATGCCTTCAGCTGTTTATATCTTCGAACTTTCTACTCCGTCGTTCTATTCTTGTTAGTTTGTGTAGTTTGTAATAGTTCTCTCTCGTAAGCTGATTTATTGTTTCTGTTATAAATTTCCTTAGTTGTATCAAGTGTCGATGTATTTTGTTAGTTGTATTGAAGTGTTGTATTAGATCCTGTGTGCTGCAATATCACTAGAGTAAAGTTTCTTTTGTTTCCTCACGTCTCTGATCTCTTCGCTGTCCCTGCTTGCGTACGGAACGAACCAACCTGCTGTCATTCCCGTCGCCGACTTCGCGCTGGCGACGCTAGAGTGGCAGCTTGTAACAAAACTGGCGTCCGCGAGACACGACGTTCCGTACAAGAATAAGACAGTGAGGGGTGAACGAGAACCGTGCGGACAGCGTCGTGATAGAGCCGCACAGTTAAAGCGGTTGCATCCTGCAATGATTGCGCTGTTTTTATAGTGGCATATAGTGACAGTTGCAGTATGGAGTGTATGGATTTTGATAAGTGGATCTCATACGGTAAACAGTTAGGCCTCGAGGGCGCCGAACTGAGACAATGGATTAAGGAGCAGCAGGAACAGGCGCAGGCCAGAGAAAAGCGGGCACTGGCCCGAGAGAAAAAAGAAAGGGAGAGAAAACGCGAAGAAAAGGAAAGAGAGCGCAAAGAAAGGGCGAAAGAACGAGAAGCGGCAAGGGAAGCGGCAAGGGAGGCCCGAGAACGGGAAGTGCAGTTACTGCAATTAAAGATTCGCCTCAGTGAGGGTAGCAGGGTTAGCCGATCCAGCAGTGAGCATGGCGATGCCGGCGAGGAACTGTCATTTGAGCGAGACACATGGTGTCAAGGGCTACTCACGGTTCTGCCTTGCGAGGCAAATGAAGCTGTTGCGCGACTCAGTCAGCAGAACGCGAACAACTACGAGGTAGTTAAGACAGAGATGTTCCGGATATCCGGAACTTCTGTCTGGACAAAGGAAGAGCAGCTCAGACAAGAGTCTGAAAGAAAGCGCGAAACAGAAAGACAACAGTCTGAAAGCGAGGCGTGTCGCAAAGCGATGAACGTTAAAGTGTGGCAGGAAGTGCTAGAACCAGAGATCGCGCCAGAAAAGGGCCCGCGTATTCTAGAAGGCATCAAGGTAGAGTATGCTGAGAACGAGGCCTTGGCCGGTCTGGAGGTAGAGATGATGTCGAGAGACGCTCCTTGCGTGGATGAGGAGAGTGCCAGCAGCCCTAATGGGCCCAGTAAGATGCTGGAAACCTCCTTCGTGCCTCAAGAGTACGTTTCGACATCGTCAAATGTAGGCATGATTAGCACAGTGGCGAATCAGAGCGAGGACGCGACGCTTCAGGAATGCAGCGATGCCGTCGGAGAGGGCCCAGTTGATGGCTTCATTAGTGTTGACAAAGCTAATTTGGCCCGACAGTCCGTCGTGACGCAGAGTTCAAAAAGCGTTATCGGGAGGGAAGACCTAGCACCAGCTCCAACGAGCTTCCCAACTTTTGAGGTCTTGAAGCGACATGATGATGACATCGAGGGAAAGGAGGTACGCAAACATCGCCGAAAAAGAAAGAAGAGGAAGCGTACCACGCTGCGTGAGCCTAGGGCTGGTCCCACTCCGTCTCGACAGAGACGAAAGGCTAGGCCGTTAATCCGTTTCAAGAAAGGTCACTGGTGGCGTTCATGGAGGCACAAGCGGCGAGCCAGGTGTATTGGGGGGGGGGGGAAAGGGAGATGCGTCACCCGAACGAAAGGCGCGGTTCGTTTCGACGACTTCGGGAAAGCGGCCTTGCCCGAAGGTCCCAAGTCGAAAAGGCACAACGGCTAAGTACTGCGTGGGGGCGACCACAAAGACACTATTACCCAGGCTTCCCCCCTGTTTCTGGCGTCCCTTGCACATTCCTGAGGGGAGCCGGCCGAAATTCAGAATGAGGCGTGACAGCAGGACACAGCCAGGCGTTCGTGCTTTTTGTAACCTCTGGCGTGCTCGAAAGCCGCCAGGAACGCGACCCCATCGTGTGCGATTCAAGCGAATCTAATTTAGAAAAAGGGGGCGGTCAGTTTGAAGAATTGTTGCACGTGCGTGCTAAGTATGGTTAATTAGTGTTGCTTTGCAGATGCAGACTTCAGTCATAGTTTTTGCGAGTTACGTGAGGCGGTGTAAATTGTTCAGAAGGGAAACCGCCGAGCCAAAGGCTAAAAGTTAGCATCGAATTAGTTTAATCATGAGTGCGAAA